GTAAATTAAAAATATTGAAGTTCTTAGACCACATTCTTTCTGTGTCAGAAACCTATGCTGTGTCAAATATTTAATCACAATCCAAATTCAGAGCTGTATCAAGCTTGAATGTTGTGTCCATACTTGCCCCAACTGTTCAGGGTTCGACCTCTGCGGTCGTATCAAGCTGCGCCCAGCGAAGCATTTTATTTTCACATGTCGCGCCATATCTCAAAAACAATTTATGATTATTGCTTAAAACTTTACACACTTCTTAGTTATATTAATCTCAAGATCTGTATACTTTTTGGTGATGATTCAAAATTTTATTTTTGAGTTATTGAGTATTTTGTTAAAAAAGGGGGAGGGGTTTTTCACATGTCGCGCCGTATCTCAAAAACAGTTTATGATTATTGCTTAAAACTTTACACACTTCTTAGTTATATTAAGCTTAAGATCTGTATACTTTTTGGTGATGATTCAAAATTTTATTTTTGAGTTATTGAGTATTTTGTAAAAAAAGGGGGAGGGGTTTTTCACATGTCGCACCATATCTCAAAAATGATTTATGATTATTGCTTAAAATTTTACACACTTCTTAGTTATATTAATCTAAAGATCTGTATACTTTTTGGTTTTGATTCAAAATTTTTTTTTTGAGATATTGATTTTTTTTTTTTAAAAGGGGTGTTTTCACATGTCGCGCCGTATCTCAAAAACGATTTATGATTATTGCTTAAAATTTTACACACTTCTTAGTTATATTAATCTAAAGATCTGTATACTTTTTGGTTTTGATTCAAAATTTTATTTTAGAGATATTGATTTTTTTGTAAAAAAAAAAAGGGGGTTTTCGCATATCACGCCGTATGTCAGAAACTATTTATGCTTATTGCATAAAAATTCACACACAAGACGACGGGCGTATCATGCGCTCATGGCGCAGCTGTTTATTAGGTTTGTCGTTGAATGGCAAACCAACTGAAGTTCGAATTGGGGTGGCATTGATCACTTTTATCGTTCTTGAGTTATGTCCCTTTATAATGTTATATGCAAGCGGGGGCATCATCTTTGTGACTGTGTCCCATGGACACTTTCTCCATTTTCTAAATGGTTTTCACGAATGATAAAAAATATAGTAACCAGGGATGCTCACAATGCATCTGGATGCATATTTTCATTACGGACACATTTTTGTACTGTCAGATATATCCCTGAATTATATGTACTTATTTCTCATCTGACCGGCCACATTATTAGTTAAAAAAATTGTGACTGACAAAAATTTACCTGTTGCTGTGCAGAAATACAATAATTTGTGTATTTTTTCTGTGTGTGTTGCAGTAATTATAGAGCCTTTACTGTAATTATGAGACATTTGATAATGAATTGGAGAGATACTTGGGAATTGCTTATCTTCCAATAGAGCAAGATTGAACCTCAATTTCAACAAATTATTATGTCTTATCGTTTCAGACGATATTTTCTATAAACAGTAAACCAAATGTATCAGTAAGGGGGGTGGGGTGCTATTACCATTTAATTAATGGTAGGGTAGAGCCGCTGGAATAGGTTGCTTTTTCAAGTTTCATGATATATGATAAGGTTGAGAAATACAGATGAAATATATGACAAGAATCATAAGTTTTTGAAACTCATCAGATGGTAATTTTTTTGTCAGATGCTTAAAACTACAGTCATAAATGCATGAGGTATTTGTTAAATATTTTTATCTCTTCATGAAATAGTACCGGCGGTAAGCTACATAAAAATTGAATAAAAATAATGTAATTTGATTAAAAATCAAACACTATAGTGTTATTAGCAATATTGTTATTGGTGTAGTGTTGCATTGCTTTTAGACATATTTCTAGATTTTAATTTGAACATTCGTACATGTATATTTCCAAAAAATCAAAATACAGCATGTACAATGATGTACATGATTAAGCTGTCAAGCATTTATAACTACACTAAATACGTATAATTTGATTGTGGAAAGTACAACTTGAAAGCTCCCCCTTTTAGCTCACCTGGTAGGGAGGGCTAGTAAATGAGATCACCTGGTTTCCGTGAACAAACTTACACCAAAATTTTCTCATCTGAAACCATTAGTGAATGTACTTCACTGACCTTTTTAACCATATATACATGTATACAAATTACATGAAAAAAAGGTAAAAGTGGATGATATATCATGATATGTACCTAATTATATACGTTATATATGTCAATTGGGAAGTATATATTTGAAGTGAGCCAAGTACTTCTTCACAAGGTGCAGTCTTGTGGTATTGTTTTATTTGTGATCGGGAAGTTTATAATATTATATATTATTGATGACAAATCGTTGCTCCAGTTGTGATGAGTCAGGACTTATTGTTGTGTTTTGGTACTATGTAAGTACTACATGTATGTAGTATAAGTAATGTCCTGTATCTAGGATTAATGTACATGTAGGTACTTTTAACTTTATTTGTTTAATATTAATAACTTGACAATAGAAAATACATTTTTGTTCCTTTTTTTTATCAAATGTCAACCAAAGTCATTTCTAAGAATATTTCATATGTCATGTAGGTCAGAAGTATATTTTGAATGTTTCATTAATTTGAATGAATTGCAACATTAGTATGTACTGGTAGCTGGAACAAGACATGCTTTTACATGTATCATTTGATATCAAGTACACACAATGCAGAACAGTTAATTATAAATGGTTAATGTGTTGAGTGAGTAATAGTGAGCACTGCTTTCAAAAATCTATATTTCCTATGGACATGATGAAATAAACAGAGAAAAACAAATGTAGATCAAAGTGATTTACCAACAATCAAGCATTTCATTTTAACGAAAGAAATCTCTGTATTACTGAAAAATTATTACACCTGGGTTTTCGATATCACAAACTAGTCAAAACATTTACTAAATTTTATCAGTACAAGCTTAAGGACATCATTCGTAAATATAAATCAACATGCAGACATCTTATACGTTCAGTTATTTCACATCCAATCTTTTATGGTAATATTCTTTACAAAGCACAAAAATGTCGGCATTCACCTCAAAAGCTAACCAAACCTTTCAACAGACTTATTCAGAAGGGATATAGTTATGATACTGTTGTCAGGTCATTATAGATGGCATATTTTGGTATTAATATTGAGTCACTCATAGGGTCTTTGCATCGGAAATAAACACATTTATTCTAAAACCAGTTGTTGGCATAATACGGGCTATATATGTTCCTCTTATATATATATATTTTATGATGGTACATGTATGATACTAAACCTCTAACGTGAGGGATTGTGCTTGATTTTCATATGATGAAGACATAATCTTTCAATAAGTTTAAATGAGGTCTGGAGCTGGCATGTCAGTAACTGCTAGTAGTACTTTGTTAATTTATGTATCATTGTCATTTTGCTTAGTTTCTTTTGTTACTTATTCTGACATCGGACTCAGACTTCTTTTAAACTGAGTTTTACTGTGTGTTTGTTTTTTCTTCATTTACTCGATGTATAGGGGGAGGGTTGAGATCTCACAAAACATGTTTAACCCTGCCGCATTTTTTGCGCCTGTCCCAAGTCAGGAGCCTTTGGCCTTTGTTAGTCTTGTATGATTTTTAATTTTTGTTCATTTATATGTTTTGGAGTATAGTATGACGTCCATTTTGACTGAACTAGTACAGGATTTTCTCGTTGTGTTGAAGACCCTTTGGTGGCCTTTGGCTGTTTTCTGCTCTTTGGTCGGGTTGTTGTCTCTTTGACACATTCCCCATTTCCATTCTCAATTTTATCTTTATCTTTTAAGTTTATATCATCAAAATTTAGGGTAGACTATTTCAGTACCTTTCTGCATTTATTGTACATACCGGTATATGATTAGTATTTCAATACCTTTCTGTATTTATTGTACATACATGTACCGGTATATGATAAGTACATGCCTGAACATGCCTGACGTCGACCCTGTCTAGACCCTCTCCTCTATAACCATAAGTGGATCGGTCAGAAGTAGGTCAGTGATACATGTATTGCTTCCACATTTTGATGTAACAATGTGTAATGAGGCAAAGTTTCAACTGAGCAAAATTCTATGTAAGAGATAGGATCAACAACAATGATAATCAAATATAAACAGGTGCATGCTAGTAAGAAGGAAGAAAGGAGCAGAATGCATGGCATCACCCTGCACATGGCATGATTGGGATCAGATTAAATTCTCCTTTCTAACCAAATATGGACGCCCACAGCCTAAGATGGACCCCCCACTTTAGGAAGGGTTTTACTGCCAGATGGGAGAATTCAGTGTGATAACCATATATAACTTAGTCTCCTCTTCGGGTTGTATGTACAAGAGATGGAATATATTGATTTATATCTGTACAGAGCACCTTAAATTGATTTTTGTGCTTTACTGGCTTATGTGTGGAAGTTTTCAATATTATCTGACCCTGAAATTGTAAAAAAATAATAAACATCTTCAATTTTTTAAAAGTCTTTATGGAGAAATAGATAGAATGATATATACTCCTGACATTTTAGGGCAAAAAAATCAGTTATGTTGTCATAAACATGTTGAAATTGACAGATTTGCCTTAGCATGGCCAGGTTTTGGCATAATGGTATTTGAGTCACAGCCTTGTCTGTATGTATGTATTTTACCCCCATTAACATCATTGCATAAGACATAGTATCAAAATATATTTTTAGATAGCTCATATCTAAATATAAATGACAAGATCTCAAAATGAGTCTCTTTTGCCAGGGTTTTCATGAAATGTAAGAAGTTTGAACCCCTTCAGCAAATAGGTAAGACACATTTCAAAAATATTGATACAGATATTTGACAGCCATAGTGAACACCTGTCATGGATTTGATTTTCAAATTCAAGGGTCTTACCTAATATATATTTCAAGAAAGATAATTTTTTGGGTACATATATATAATATAGTATTCATGTCCTTGACTTTCATAATAAAGTTGAATATTACAACCAGGAACTAACAGATAAACTTAATATCCCTGTTATCAGACATATGGTTACATTTTGTACAATATGTTTTATTTACAATGTCATCATTGTACCATATCTGCATGAGTAACCATCTGGAACCATTTGTAAATGTGCATAACTTTGAATATGTAAGTAATATATTTATAATCTTCATAAATCATTTTATACATCTATTTCCATTTAGAAATATATTTGATAGTGATAAATTTTATTTTGTTAATAAAATACAAATACATAACTTTTGCACACTGTAAATGATATAACATGTAAGTAATTATTTTAAGATTATTTGTTAAGCATAGGAATATTTAGTGGCTTGGTGGTTAATGTGTTTTAGTATTGTACATGTAGTAAATTATTTGACCTTATGAAAATCACAAATGATAATTTCAGTTAACCCTTACAACCCCTTTTTGTAAATTGTCACTGTACATGTAATATACATATGTTAGAGGCCTACATTTGTACATGTAAAAAAAAAGGGGTTTTACATGTATAATACTATAAAATTGAGAATGGAAATGGGGAATGTGTCAAAGAGATAACAACTGGACCAAAGAGCAGAAAACAGCTCAAGGCCACCAATGGGTCTTCAACACAGGGAGAAAATCCCGCACCTGGAGGCAGGCTTTAGCTGGCCTCTAAACAAAAATGTATACTGGTTCAGAGAAAATGGATAAGTATATATATATAATGTATGTGTTGAAACATTATTTTCCAATAATTCTAAATGCAATAAGTTTTGAATAAGTTTAAAACTGTGTTAAAAAGATATATAATAATCATGGTTATATGAAATTTCAATTTTGATTGTTATACCTGTAATTCATATAAAATCTATGTTTATGTTATTGGGAATTTTGATATGATCTGATGCAACTGCAAATGAGACTGCCCAAATTAATTACATCTGTGAATGAAATCAATGAAAGTGGATAGTCTCCAACAATGCCCGATAGAAATCTCTTTATGTCAGATCACAAAAACAAAGGCAAAACAACTTGAAATAAGGATTGAATAAGGTTCACTACTATAAACTCATTATTATTCGTGGGATTCCAAATTTCGTGGAGTTCATGGGTATTGGTGAACCATGAATTTAAATATTCAACAAAATACATTTTCTTTAGACTTGTGTCAGACTATTGAGAAAACCACGAAATCAAATATCCATGAAAACACAATTTTTCCTTAAAGTCATATGAAATGAGTTTGAACAAATTTTAATGTTCAGGAAATTATTGAACCAATATATACTAAAAACTAAGTCCTATATGCATGTTTTTTTACATTTATTATGTATCTATAACGTATAATCAACACATGATATTTCATTCAGTGATTGTTGGTCGCAAGCTCATTAACTTTTGAGTTTATTGCTGAAGTTTACAGGATCGTCAACACAGAAGCACGTGGAGCATGTAAAAAATATGTGAATATTGAAAGAGTGATGTTAATTTTTTTTTTATATTTTTCTATGCATTCCCATGTGTTTAATAAACTTTTCAATAACTGTTGTTAAATGATTTTGTGTATTTGATTTGTTCTTTTTATTACTAATTACCTTCCAGTGCACATTTGTCTACATTCTATCATCACTGTTTTCCCTTGCACTTGCGCTGTGCTGTGGCCGAAGTTCTAACGAGAGGTCTCGTAGTTAAGGTCACTGCATACGGAAAAATATCAACAAATTAGTGTACATTTGTTTTATAATACAACTTAGCCATTCAAGTAAATAAAACATATTCAAATTTTTTTATGCCCCCGCAACTGAAAGTTTGGGAGAATATTGTTTTACCCCTGTCCGTCCTTCCGTCTGTCCTTCCGTCCTTCCGTCCGTCCCATGATGGGTATATAGTTATTCCAGATAGCTCCTCCTACAGTTTAAATGCTAGGAAGTTTTCACTTTGCTGGCTGTTTGTACATATATTGAAGGTGTGCAAGTGGTCAGGGTTTTGATTTTTATTAATATTTGCTCTTTTGGGAGATAGTTGAACTTTGTCATTTTTTGGAGTATTTACTTGCATAAGAGGTGCATAGCGTTTCCGGATAACTCCTCCTACAGTTTGAATGCTAGGAATTTTCTCTTAGCTGACTGTTTGTACATATATCTAAGGTGTGCATGTGGTCAGGGTTTTGATTTTTATTAATATTTGCTCTTTTGGGAGATAGTTGAACTTTGTCATTTTTTGGAGTATATACTTGCATAAGAGGAGCATAGCATTACAGGATAACTCCTCCTAAATTTTGAGTGCTAGTAAGTTTTCACTTTACTGACTGTTTGTACATATATTGAAGGTGTGCATGTGGTCAGGGTTTTGATTTTTATTAATATTTGCTCTTTTGGGAGTTAGTTAAATTATGTCATTTTTGGAGTATATACTTGCATAAGAGGTGCATAACATTTCTGGATAACTCCTCCTACAGTTAACCATAGAACGATGTGCTCCCATGCTCAACTTTGTGTATTTTAAAGTAACACTTTGCATCTGTGGGGGCATCATTTGTGTCTCCCAGACACAATAATATCTCAAAGAAAGTCCTACATTGACTTTGTTATAATACAGTTACTTTAGAGTGGAGTGTGGGGGGAAGCACTTTGTCTTGTTTTTAATTTGAAATTTCACGATTTTAATCCAGGATAAGTTGTATCCATGAAATAAATGATTTCACAGTATTATAAAAACTAGAAATGAAGAGGACGATGCTGACAGCCAATGCACTACCAAGTCATGGTGGCATGGTGTAAGTGTGGTGGAGCAACCTTACTGGTGCAGTGGTATTAAAGCACATATAAAAAAACGCAGAGAAAAATGAAAGTTTTAACTATGGACGAAATTACAAACACCTTATCATGTCTAAACAAGATTGTGAGTAAGTCTAATGAAGACAAGACGACATGATATCTGAAACCAAGACCAAAGAAAACAAATAATATTTTTCATTATAGATATATATATGATACAAGTCAAAAGTCTACATGCACTATTTTTTTTACAGAATGGATAAGCATAAAAAGGGGAAGAAGCAACCTTCTGAATGGTCAAAAACTGGGAGTTTTATGCACAAACCAGAAAGAGGCTGGATTCATCCAGATGCACAGATAAAGCCTGATGCTGGTGTATGCTATGGAGTAAGGGTAAGTAGCAGTTACCTCCCTTTACTATAATAAGAGAAAAAGAGAAAATTTTCAATAGAATTGAAATAATAAAACATCAAATTATGAAAACATTACATCAAATTAAGAATACTTATTTTACATTTTATTTATCTTTATATATTTGGAAAAGAGTTCTCCACTGTGCAAGCTATTTATTTTAGCCCTTTATATTTAGATATTTCTAGAAAATGATAGCTATAGTCAATAATCTATATCAGTACTGAAAGTGTTAATTATTAAAACATGCGTAATTGTGTGAGTTTTGAATAAAACATGTTGTAATGTTAAAAAGTTTTGAATACTTAACCAAAAATGTAACACAAGTTTAAAAATTTCCCCTAAGCCATAATGACACATTAAACATTCATGTTTTTGATTATGATTTACATTGATTGTATCTGTTTTATTTATCAGTATATAGGATGCCTGGAGGTCAAAGAGTCAATGAGGCAACTAGATTTTGATACAAGGACAGCACTAGCTAGGTAAATTAGAGTAGTTATCTCCCTTATATTATTTTAAGTTCCAAATAAAATTAGTGCATTTTTTAACATTTTGCATAAAATTGTGATTAAAGAAACTTTTATATGCAAAGAAAAAATTGTTATAAATTGTCAAAAGTTACTATATACAAACCATATATATATATGTAATAACAGAATATCCAAGATTATTTTATAATCAATAATATATTAATCCAATGAAAAAAAAGGAGATGTTTGCAATTTCTTTAAAAAAAAATTTTTCTTAGCACAAAATAAAATAGATAAATTTGTGTTTGTGTATTTCTTCTATCAAATAAAACTTTAAGCTGGATGAAATTATTCCATGATCATGATGATTGTAAAAAGTAACCCAATTAGTTCTGCTTTCAGTGATTTTTTTTTGAAATATGTTGTATATACAAAGTTCTTAAAGTGTAGGAAAACATAAAATTTATTAGTACAAGCTTTAGAAACAGACAGAAAAGCGAGGCTCGCCAACCTTTCTCCTGTTTCGTAATGAGCACAAATAAATTCAATATTTTCATTGACTACGAATCTTGTTTTTATCCTGCAATTTAACATTGAGCTTAAATGTATAGTTTTTACATGAGATGAAAACCCTGAATTGAACTGTGTGGTAAACAGTAATATGAACATGTTAATCGTTCACTCGCAACAGTAGCAGGATGTCAGGAGACTTATAAACATATAGTATACCGTTTTTGCTTTGTGTTTTCTGTACAACAGTATTTATATAGTAGAACGGTTGATTGCAGAAAAAAAAACTTTTGTGGTCATCTTTGTTTATATGAAAGTGGTTTTCTTTGTGCTTTAAAGAATTTGATGTTGATATCAGATCATAAGTGGTCTTTCCTCAATTTATTCTCATCTTTATAATGATCTTATCTGGACAATTAAGTGCTTGACATACAAATGTATGAGTTCTTGTCTGTTGTTGAAGACTGTGTTGTCATTTAGTAGATACATGTATGAATAAAAGGAGATTTGGGCTATACATCAATCAGACACCAAACTAACAACACAGAAAAATCAAAAGACGTCTATGAGGTCAATTTTTGGTCTTCAGCAATAATGTGTCATTACAATATGCATGTCAAGTTCTGAATTACCAGAACTGTAGAAAAATTTGTCAATAAATTTTACATATGTGTCTTTCCTGGTTTTAATGGTATTAGTTTTAGGTTTTATTGTTGCTATTTCATTGACATATACACCCACATAACTTTTTTAGATTACTTAGGTAAACTTTATTTTTAACAGTGACATTTATATGTTGTAGGGAAGCTATATGCAGGGTATGTGAAGCAGCAGGGTTGAAGACAGCAAAGAAACGTAAAGTAAGTAAAGAGAGAACCCATTGTATCATGTACAAGTCATAGTATATGGATCTGGCATGTCCTTTATGTCCAATATTCTGCGTATTTTCTTACCATAATTTTTTATACGCCTGTCAAATTTTTGACGGGACGTATTATGGTATACAAATGTCCAGCGTCCGTCTGTCTGTCCGTCTGTCTGTCCATCCGTCTGTCTGTCCGGCGTAAACATGTCGCACCGTAACTTGAGAATGACTTTTCCAAATTTCATGAAACTTAATATAGTTGTTTCTCATGATGGTCAAACGATCTGTATACTTTTTGGTGAAAATAAGATTAAAACTTTTTGAGTTACGGGACTTAGTAACTAAAACAGGTGTGTGTTTTTTTTCACATGTCGCGCCGTATCTCAAAAACACTTTTTGATTATTGCTTAAAACCTTACACACTTCTTAGTTATATTAATCTTAAGATCTGTATACTTTTTGGTGATGATTCAAAATTTTATTTTAGAGATATTGAGTATTTTGTTAAAAAATTAAGGGGGAGGGGTTTTTCACATGTCGTGCCGTATCTCAAAAACAGTTTATGATTATTGCTTAAAACATTTCACACTTCTTAGTTATATAAACCTTAAGATCTGTATACTTTTTGGTGATGATTCAAAATTTTATTTTTGAGTTATTGAGTATTTTGTAAAAAAAAGGTGGAGGGGTTTTTCACATGTCGCGCCATATCTCAAAAACGATTTATGATTATTGCTTAAAATTTTACACACTTCTTAGTTATATTAATCTAAAGATCTGTATACTTTTTGGTTTTGATTCAAAATTTTATTTTTGAGATATTGATTTTTTTTTTTTAAACGGGGGGGGGGGGTTTTCACATGTCGCGCCGTATCTCAAAAACGATTTATGATTATTGCTTAAAATTTTACACACTTCTTAGTTATATTAATCTAAAGATCTATATACTTTTTGGTTTTGATTCAAAATTTTATTTTAGAGATATTGAGTTTTTTGTAAAAAAAAAGGGGGGTTTTTCGCATGTCACGCCGTATGTCAGAAACTATTTATGCTTATTGCATAAAAATTCACACACAAGACAACGGGCGTATCATGCGCTCATGGCGCAGCTGTTTATTGTATGATACAAATACCTTAAATATGCTACTTTTGCTTATGAACCATTTACAACTTTGAGAATATGGAAGTAAATATTTCTTTGCTTTGCAGTTTGGATTAAATCTTTAACATTATTTTCATTTTCAGGTAGATAAAAAGTTAGTAAAAATGTTAGGTGATGCACCAAAGATGCAGTATGCAGGGTCAAATGTCAACTTGACAATCACAACAGACTGTCTCACACTTATTATAATGGAATCTGGAGAGGTAAGGGCATAATTGTCACATTAATTTTGCAAGGAAAAAGGTCAACCTGTTGTTATTAAAGTGAAATCATAATATGAAAATAAGTACATAATTCAGTAACGACAAATATCCATCGAAACACCAAGGGATAAGGATGTTTTAAAACAGCTACATGTCCTAGCTTTTAAGACCTATAATTGAAAAATTAAAAAAAGGTAGAATCATCCAAAACTAATGGATCTTTTTATGCCCCACCTGTGCGTCTGTTCGTCCGTCTGTCCCGCTTCAGGTTAAAGTTTTTGGTCAAGGTAGTTTTGATGAAGTTGAAGTCCAATCAACTTGAAACTTAGTACACATGTTCCCTATGATATAATCTTTCTAATTTAATGCCAAATTAGAGTTTTTACCCCAATTTCACGGTCCACTGAACATAAAAATGATAGTGCTAGTGGGGCATCCGTGTACTATGGACACATTCTTGTTTCAACTGTCTTAATCTGAATTTCATTTTCAATTAATATTTACTTCTAATGGTGGTATTCAGTCAATAAAAACATTTTCAAGTTGAGGATATTAGTTTTTGTTTCGCTTCGACGATGTCTGGCGGCAGCGGCATCAGCAATGCATTAGTTTGTGATTAGGTCAGTTTTATGGGGAACTACTAATGGTAGGTCAGTGATATTTGGTATGCAGTTGTATTAGCATTGGCACATCTCATTTCTATGGAGATTATGTGCACTTTGCCCCTCAGTCATGGTTCATTAACTTTGAATGTTTTGCATAGTTTACATGTTTAAACATTGTCATTTTGATTTCAACATTTGCATTTTAACCAAATTACAAAAAGCGAGACATATACAAGTGAAATCATTGAGTACTATTTCTATGATTAAATAGTGAACAGGACTGAGACCAACTCCAATATATGACTCATTGATATTATGACATATTCAAGTGAAAGGTCTTAAACCATGTTCAAAAACTTCCATTTGGTCGAAATATAATATGTATAAAATGGCCAAAAATATTGGACAGAACAAAAGACCACATCAACCACCAACACTGTTAAATATATAATACTAAGACAAACAATACATATCTAGACCATATGTCGTAAAAAAGTAAAATTCACAATAAAAAACCTGTATAGTGCAGCTACTTACAACATGACTACTTATTTCAACAAGGAAGGGAAGAAATGTTGTAAAAATGGCTGCTTTATTTTATTCCACATAAGCATTTAAAACATGTAAGTTTTACTTTCAGATGATAGCCAATCACCAGATGCCTGGAATTTCTTTTGCGTCAGGAGGAGATTCTGTAAGTTTGAATCAAGGCTTCCAAAACGGTCATATATTCCGGACATTTGTATAATGTCCGGTAAAAGTCCGGCTGGGCAAAGCATGAAACGGTCATCTACTTTTTAGTTTTCAAGGCTTTCTTAAGAGACGGTCATTTTAACATAATTCGCGACCTTTTTGACCCAACCTTTTGCCTTTAACAGCCACACATTTCCGGTCATAAAAGTGACATGATCATTAAGTACTATCAAAACAACCCCTACTTTAATACCTTCTCATTTTAATCAAGGCTGATTAGTTGTCGAACAGCTGAAATTTACCTGTTCAGGTGACAGGTAAACTATTTTGAACCGGACATTGATCGGTCTATTCAAAGTTATTTTCTTACATTTCAGCGGTTTGCATCTAATTAATTTAGTCAAAAAGATTTAAATTATCAGAAATACGTTTACAAATATGATTTGATGAAAAAATTCAAAAGGTGAAAATAAAAAATCGTCATAACCACGTTGTTTGAATCAGAGACATGTCTCTGTTTGAACTAGTACACTTGTGCGCATGTGCGCAGGTGTGAAATTTAATTATGCATTCTAATTTCTTCAAAAAATGCTTAAATTGTAATTGATACCTTTATCTCACGTTTATTTCAAATATTTTCTTGGAAAAAATAACGTAGAAAGAGCTCCTTGCACTCATTCATCGTGTTCATGCTTTGCAAACATACACGGAATTTACTTATCCATCTCTGGTCCATGTTTTACCATTGTCAAGATAACATCCGGTATTAGTTTAAAAAAAAGTAAAGTTTTTGACAACGTTCTAAGGCAGATATAAGTACGCTGATATTGCACACTTCGAATGATGCACTGCCAATTTAACAGTTTACGTCAGAACTTTGAATTTGAATCAAAGAAAGTTTAATATCGATTTTTTTTTAATGTCACTCTGGGATGGCCAACTCGGCAACTGATTACCATGATTGGCTTTTGTTTATTTTGTCTTAAGGGATTAAAATCGGGATAATACATAAAATGTCCGGCTGGCTAAAAATAATTTTGAAAGCCCTGGTTTGAATATAAAGTGGCAACATTAAAATTACCTTCAGTAGGCAAATTTGTCAGATCTTATACAAATATATCATGCTTACAAGGGGTATTTGCCAAAAATACAGGTTGAGAGGTACACATTTCCAGCGCTGTTAGGCGAGGGAAATTTGATTACCTCGAAACCGGTATTTTTGGCAAATACCCTTTGTAAGCATGATATAATTGTTTAATTCCACCAAATGTTCTTTGTATCCATCTTGACCTCAGAAAGTTTATTGTAATCGGGTATCATATGGAGTTTCTTCTTGAATGTATAATTTTTGTATATACTGCAGCTGTGCTATTAGCGCAGTCAAATTGCATTGGTCGTATAATGATTTCTGATCATTTTTGATGTACAGTCACTGACTGTATATATATATCTACCTGTTTATGATAAGCTGGTTTTAGACTACAACACTTTGTTCATCAGCTTGAGTGAAGAGTTATACAAGTGTATTCCAGTTTATGTTTATGACTGGTTGACCAATGGGTTTCTGTTTTATTTATGACGTCATTAAAAGTACAGGTTCGCGGAATAGTTACGTCATTCGCTCCAAATTCAATAATGATGTTTTTATGCTAAATATTTCATTTGGAACCGTATATTTAGAATGACCATAAATTTGTCCTATTAGAATATAAATAATTCATTGGGTAATTTTTAGACATGGTATTCCCCATCTGCCATGGTATTTACTAGCAAATACCCCGGCACATGGAATTCCCTAATGAAATGAAAATCTCAATACATTGAAATTGGTGAAAAATACCATGTCTGTCATCCAATCAAAATACAGCATTATTACATAAGGTGGAATTATTAGCAAAAGTATATAATTCCAGAAGCATTTCCCAAAACACAGGAGTAGAGCCAGTAAGCCAAGTAACAGCCCTGTAAAGGGGGATTTTTAAAATATGATCAGTAATCTATATCTAATGTGAAGTCATGCTTGTTGTATATTTTTAGAAGTATTATAAGAAAAGATGTAAATCTGCTTCATTTATTATACCCCGTTTTAAAAAAGTGGGGGTATACTGTTTTACCTCTGTCTGTCCATCCGTCCGTCCCATGAATATTTTTCGTCGCATCTTTCTCAGGAACTACATCATAAGGATTTCTGAAATTTGGTTTCAGGGTTTATATAAGTCAGCTATACCGTGTGATGCGTTTTCAGATTCATCACTCAACAACTTCCTGTTTACCGAACACTTACATCATTTTACACATGACATCCAAGTAGTTGAAAATTTTCGTCACATTTATCTCAGGAACTACATTACAAGGATTTCTGAAATTTGGTTTCAGGGTTTATATGAGTCAGCTATACCGTGTGATGCGTTTTCAGATTTATCACTCAACAACTTCCTGTTTACCAAACACTTACATTTGGGCAGGGGTATCATCAGTGAGCAGTAGCTCGCAGTTTCACTTGTTATAAACATATATGCCTGAAATAGTAAAAAAATCAAATTAGTCCATTTTTCTCGAAAATCATCACATTTTCAATCTTTTTTCGTGATTTCTAAAGTGGCTCAACCCCTGTTAATAATCTTCTTTGACTGAAACAATTGGACATATAAACATATGTTTACATCAAATTTTCACAACAATATCAATGTTATAAATTTCAGATTTTTTTAGGCCAAATTATGAGTTAGTGAACCAACTCGTTTTTACTAGTGAATAAACACAAAATATATTTCCTGTTGGCCAATAGGTACATGTAGTTGGGTTGCTGTCATTCATTTTTTATTCATATTTGCTATAGATATTGTTTGCATCATTTTATTCAGATTTTCCTTTTTTTCAAGGAAACACTAGACTTTGTAGCTTATGTTGCTAAAGACGCAGCTAATGGTCGAGCATGTCATGTGTTAGAATGTGGAGGTGGATTAGCAGAAGATGTTATAACTACAATAGGACAAGCTTTTGAACTACGTTTCAAAGAATATCTAAAAAATCAACCAAAACCAGTTACAGTCCAGGACCCGTAAGTCAGCAGACATTTTTATGCCCCCGCCGTAGCAGAGGGACCATTAAGTTTTACCTATGTCCGTCTGTATTGATCCGTCCGTATGTCCCGAAATTGGTTTTCATTCTCTAACTTTAGTTTGCCTCAACCAAATATTATGAAACGTATACACAATGCTTATTACCACAAAACACAGATCAAGTTTGAATTTGGGTGGCGTCACGTTTACATTTCTAGAGTTATGCCCTTTACAAATGGAAAAATTGCATAATTTAATCGTTTCCGTACTCTTACTTAAATTTGCCTCAACCAAATGTTATGAATCTTATACACAATGCTTATTACCACAAAACTCAGATCAAGTATGAATTAGGGTAGCGTCACCTTTACCGTTCTTGAGTTATGACCCTTTATAACATTATATGCAAGCGGGGGAATCATCTGTGTCCCATGGACACATTCCCCATTTATTAGTCCCCTACCGACGAATTCGAAGGGGACTTTAGGTTTGCTCTCCGTTTGTCTGTCTGTCTGTCTGTCCATCCATCAGTCCAGCAAATCAGTTTTCCACACTTTTTTTCTTCATGCTTGAAGATATTGATTTGATATTTGGTGTATTGTTTTATCATGACAAGTTACAGATCAAGTTCAAATTTTGTTCCGGTCTGATGATTTTGTGCAGAGTTATGGTCCTTTGACTTAGAAAATTCACTAAAATAATCAGTTTTCCGCACTTTTTTTTTGTCATTTTTGAAGATATTGATTTGATAATTGGTATAAAGTTTTATCATGACAAGTTAACTTTTCAAGTTCGAATTTTGTTCCGGTCTGATGATTTTGTGCAGAGTTATGGTCCTTTGACTTAGAAAATTAACTAAAATAATCAGTTTCCGCACTTTTTTTGGGTCATTTTTGAAGATATTGATTTGATAATTGGTATATAGTTTTATAATAACAAGTTACAGTTCAAGTTAGAATTTTGTTCCGGTCTGATGATTTTGTGCAGAGTTATGGTCCTTTGACTTAGAAGATTAACTAAAATAATCAATTTTCCGCATTTTTTTTCGTCATGCTTGAAGATATTGATTCGAAAATTGGTATATAAGTTTATCATGACAAGTTACAGATCAAGTGTGAATTTTGTTCCGGTATGATGATTTTGTGCAGAGTTATGGTCCTTGGACTTAGAAAATTCCCTTAAATAATCAGTTTTCAACACTTTTTTTCGTCATGCTTGAAGATATTGACTTGATATTTGTTATAAAGTTTACACCAGGACAAGTTATAAATCAAGTTAGAATTTTGTTCCAATACAATGAATTTTTAACCGGTAGGGGACTACGTATTGCCATGCAATACTCACAGAATGCTTGTTTAGATAGTAACCTATATTTGAAACAAAAATCATGATTGAAATTATGGATAGGACACTAGTAATGACCTTCATCAACAGTGCTTTGTTACAATACCAATTGTTTTGCCAATTTATTTTAACACAATGTTGGTTATGTGTCTATGAAATATTAAATAATAATATGGATACCACAAAAAGGCACAATAACACATAAGACCATATTGACAGATTTAAGAAAAATGTTCAACCTATTGTTCAGTGCAGCCTCATATGCATTGATGAAAAAATGTAGCACCTTCAAATTTTTTTTATTAAATGTTAAATCTGAATTAAACTTTAATTTATGTAGTAGTGGTATTGATGACTGGGATCACCCAGTTTATGATAGCCATGATAGCAGTGTGTTTCCTGTAAGTTATTAAAAGTAAATTTCACACCATTCCTATATTTCCACCTTTCCAAAACCCTATTGGCCTAAGCTTTCCTCTAGTTCACAATTTGTATTAGAATAATATAGCTCTTGAAAGGCAATATTTTCTGCCCTATAATTCAGATTGTAATGTTATTTTATGAGAATTTTTTTTAACATTTGTTTGTTCTTTATATTTAGTGATATAGTATTTTATGTTAACCTTCTTGACCTCAATTACTGCCTCAGTGGTCTTTTGGTAGCGTGCTTGACTTGAGTGTGGGAGGTTGTGGGTTCGATTATTGGCCAGGTTAAACCAGACTTGAAAATTGGTATTTGCTGCTTTTCTGCTAAGCACATGGCATTTAAAAGTAAAAGCAATAATGTGTCTGGATACGGTGACATGTCTTCCTGCGGACTGTTAGCTTGTGAACTAGCACTTTAAAAATCCCGCTCTGACATCGTGTCAGTCTAGTTCAAAGCAGGGCTTATATTTCATATCACATAATCATGTTCTTGTCCTGAATATGCATTTAATTTACCACTAGACGTTAAACAGCCATCCATTCATCAATCTTGACCTAAATGCCTTTACACATTTCCTTCCTTCCAGCACAGAGAAAGGTATTGCAGACAGTGATGCCTGGGGAAATGATGAAAGTGACTATTATAATGACCGACCTGATGCAAGACCTCCTCTAGCTGAAGCTGCAACAGGAAATGCTAATTATTCAGCACCCAAGTCTAACCTGCCTGTAAGTCACTTTTGTCCTACATATAGATTGACCCCCAATTTCTGCACTACTTTCAGGTATTGGCTAGACACATAGTAGTAAACTCTATCATTAGATTTAGCACCAATAGATGGTTTTAAGTAAACAAAGGAGAAACAATGTCATCTTTTGTATTAACTGTCATAAGGAAATAAAAAGGGAATCATTATTTAGCACATAGTCACAACTATGGATATAACTAACTTCAAGTTATAAACACATTTTTGTCGAGCCTTCGACTTTAGTCGAAAAGCGAGACATAGCGATCCTACATTCCGTCGGCGGCGTCCACAAATATTCACTCTGTGGTTAAAGTTTTTGAAATTTTAATAACTTTCTTCAACTATCCTGATTTTCTACCAAACTTGGACAGAAGCTTGTTTATGATCACAAGATAGTATCCAGAAGTAAATTTTGTAAAAAAATAAATCCATTTTTTCTGTATTTTACTTTTAAATGGACTTAGATTTTCTGCCAGGAAACAACACAATCACTCTGTGGTTAAAGTTTTTAAAATTTTAATAACTTTCTTATACTATTTTGGATTTGTACCAAACTTGGACAGAAGCTTGTTTATGATCAAATGCTAGTATCTTGAAGGAAATTTTGTTTTCTTTCAGTTAACATTACATTCAGTCTGCAGTTAAAGTTTTTAAACATTTATTAGATTCATAAACTATCCTTGATTTTTAACAAACTTGGACAGAAGCTTCTTACAATCAAAAGATAGTATCAAGTGGAATATTTTTATTGATTTACTTCCTCATTTTTGTTGAGCCTGCAATTAACAGAAAAAGTAGGTGAGACACTAGGTACCGTGGAACCCTTACAAATTTTTGTAAACAATTTTTGTGTCGCCTCAAATGAAGTCGCACAGGTGTGACATGACTTAGGCTTTCTGTATTTAAAAACATTTATGACATTTTGGTGTGTACACTCTTGTTTTACTGAAAACCCCAAAAAGTTTCCCGGTTATAAATGGTATTGAATTGATCTGAATGACATCTAAAAATCAATGAATATGTCCTCAAATAGATAAAAACTTATAGTTTATTAAGGAAGTCTTTTTGTTGAATGAAACAAGATAAGAGTTGTACAGTGATTTTTAAAGCAATTGCTATCATGTTATGGCGTATAGCCATCTTTGTGACCCAGATCAAGCAAAAATGTTTTTAGCAGATTCCTGGTCTGTCATTCTAAAACTCCTATGTATGTTTTCTAATGAAATACATTAATTGAAACAGTTGAAAAACAGGAGTGGGTTTTAGAAGTTTCAACATATGTTCTTGTAGATGTATTTTTATACGACCACAAAAAATTTGGTGGTCGAATATTTGTATCACATTGTCGTAGTCAGCGTCGTCCAAAGACAGTTGGTTTCCGGACAATAACTTTAGAATAATTAAATAGAAATCTATGAAATTTAAACACAAGGTTTATAACCACAAAAGGAAGGTTGGGATTGATTTTGAGGGTTATGGTCCTAACAGTTTAGGAATTAGGGGCCAAAAAGGGGCCCAAATAAGAATTTTTTTAGTTTCCAGACAATAACTTGTGGAACGGTGTATGTATCTCTGAAATTTGACCACAAGTTTCCATACCACAAAGGGATGGTTAGGATTGGCTTTGGGGGGGTTATGGCTTAAATCGTTCAGGAATTAGGGGCAAAAAAGGGGGGAAAAACAAGGGTTTCCTGGTTAATGGACAATTACTTAAGACAATTTAAAAGCAGTGTAAGGGAGGTAATCCAAACACGTTTTGATTACCTCCCTTACACTGCTTTTAAATTATGTATAAAGAAATGTTGTATTGTCTTGAGATGATTAGCTGTCAATTTATTTTTAGAAGTTACTTTTAAGGAAAATTAATTTTAGCCTTGATTATGTATGTCATTTTCTATTTTAAGACTTTTATGATGTACTTAAATGGGTAATTATGGTTGCAAACTCCATTGGAAAAAAATTGAATTGAGATTATGACCATATCTTGAGGGAAAGAATTTTTTTTTGGGGGGGGGGGTGGAAAAAAAATTTTGTGGGGGGAGGGGGTGTCAATTCGCAACAGCAAAGTGTATTGCACAAAAGCAAAAAATTGAATATAAATTCAAATCATATAACCAATTCTAAGTTCTTTGACTACAGTTATTCTGTGTCAGAAACCTATTATGTGTCAAATATTTAATTACGATCCAAATTCAGACCTGTATCAACAGCGAATATTGTGTCCACTTTTGCCCCAACTGTTCAGGGTTGGACCTCTGCGGTTTTATCCAGCTGCCCTCGGCGAAGCAATTTATTGTATTTAAGGGGACAACCATTTAAGTATTGAAGGCTTCTTTTTGTAAATTTATTGGGGTGTAAAAGCGTTGACCGAAGTACATTTTGTATGAAGTGTGGAAGCGCTTCATTCTAGAAATGTGCGCACAGTCAATGCTTTTACAACCCTATAAAATTATTAAAAATAACATTCAATATTTATAATTACATTTTTTTTGCTAGGATCATGTAAACACGATTTCTATCAAGTTTTTCATTTATTTACCTGTGCACTTTATTGTGGAAGCTGGTGTCGTCATGAATTTTACATTTCATTTGGAAATGAAGGTAAATTTTAGAATGACGCGAGATAGCCAATCAAAATAACGTATTATAATGAAACATACATGTAATGTTATTATTTGACTATCAAAGAACATAGAAGTCCAAATGAAAAAGTGCATTTTTATACCTGCGATTTCGTTCTTGAGATGTTTCAATAAAATATATTTTCTAGGTTTACGTATCTAAAAATAGACAATCATAACTGACCTTGAAATGTTGTTTGCGCAAATAGTTTTGTGGAACGAAACCTGTGTTAAAAACACATTACAATAAGTTCGTTTTCCTTTTTTGTCATAATTCCGTAAGATTTATCATCTTATAGATGAAATGGACCAGTCCAAACGTGAAAGACGCCAAGTTAAGAGTAAGATATATTCACAAACAATTTGGAATTTTTTTGTTTCATAGATTGAAAAAAAAAGTTTGTCCATTTGGATATCAAAAAACGGGAATGCATGATAAATGATGAAACTGATATCCTTCTCTTTCCAGTAGACGAGTCTACTTCGTTTTTGACACAGATGGTAAAGTCTTATTTTCGTACAACGTGTTTGCAATTTTATTTTCATATGTTTCATGCTTGAAGATCATTATTCACCATGTTTCCTGAAAGTTGATATAAAGCAATGTGGAGCTGTTTTTTCTTGTTCGTGAAATGACGATTTAATTTCATGTTTGTCCATGATACCCCTCTTTTTCAAAATTATATGACGATATGGCACATATTGTATGTTTAAAACAGCTGAGCAATAATGTTTGGGACTAAGATTTAAGAAATGATGACAAAGAAGCATACCAAAAATATTGTTAGTAAACTGAAATATTTTTTTACATATTTATGTCTTGTAAGATTTTTTTTTTTTTTTTTCCGACCGATCGACCAGACTTTTTCAAGTGAAAAAGCTGTAAACCAACAAATTAGAAAAACCCTGTCCTTAGTGATGAAAGGGGTAAAGCCTAAGCCAGTTCCCAGGTTATTCAACAGTTAAAGTGCATTTCAAGAAAATTTAAGAAGCTTATCCCATCTTCAAAATCTTTCAATGATTCTTATTATAAAAAACTATATTTCGGTAGAACACTGGCGTCACTAAAGTTGAAATCATCAACTGAATGGTTAAATTTAATCCAATCATGATATAATTAAAATTAAAATTAAAGCTATAAAGATTAAATGAAGCCAGGTGCATGGATTGTCATGTAAATTATTGCCCAGTAATAAACACCCTACAAGGGGATAATCTATTATGATTTCTTCAGGAGTTATACTCTTCCGCACATATATTTGCATGACTGTAAGCCGGGTAAATGTGTCTTCCCCCTGGGAAATGTAAAACAGTGTAAAATGACTTTCTGCTGGATAAGTATTATATTGATATAAAGTTAAGACATCCTTTCTTCTCACTAGACAAGACTCCTGTCAGGTTTAATTCTTTTACATGTGGATGAAAAATCAAAAGTCACAAAAACATTAACTAGGCAGCAATTGCTTTGACAGCCTTCAAAGCTTTGATAAGGAGGATTATATTGTTGATTTAACATACCGGTATTCAGTTAATACATGTATAAAGAACAAGTATTGCACTAATATTTTTGATAAAAAAAAAATCTTGAGAAAAATGATTTTTATGCACCTTATTTATATCACTTTAAAATTTACATACTTTTTATCTCCCCTGTCAAATAACAGAGTCTTTAACAAAAATTCTAGATATATTTCCATGGCCTAACTTGATTGAAGCATATGAACGTTAAGTTATAGGGAGTAGGAATATTTGTCATGGCCTTACTCTACTGAAAAACAAATGGAATATTTACTATTACATGTTTTAGATAAGTGATGGCTTGTATGCCTCTGTAAAAGAACCTCCTCAGCTTTATGATGTACCTAAAGACCAACCTCTGATTGACTTTGGTGCCACTGGTGGACAGACATATGACAATAAAGAGGGTCAGGTGTATGATAATAAAGGTAAAAATATTCTTTCCTGCTTCTGTTCTGTAGCAAGGGCACATTTCATTTCTTTCATAGATGGACATTTTACATGCTGAACAGCTTATATACAGTAGTATTATAAACGTTGCAAAGTATTTTTGGATAAAGTTTATTATAAATACTTCAATTATTTTCCATTATAATTTTTTCAGAACAGGAGAAGAGTTGTCATTCAATCATACTAAGGTTGGGTTTTTTTTCCAGTCCAAATCTAACATGTTGACCAATAATATATTTGCGTTTTATTTTAGAAAGCGTATTCAATGGTGATGCTGAGTTTGAGGGTAATATGTATGACAATAAAGAAAATGTTATGGAAGAACCAACAACAAATGGGGATGCGTTTGACATGAGTAAGATTACATTGATATTTGTCTCTGAAGACAGTGTTCTAGCTTGATCTTTTTCACAGGGCTGTCCACTCACCATTTCCCAACTAACGCCCTGTGCCCTTTTTAAGACGCCCTGCCCTTTTTTTGCAAGTTTATGCCTTTATTATTTTGATGAAAATACTATAATTCTACCTGTCTTCATGTTTCTGACAAGTTTATGACCCTCAGCTAATTAACATTTACAGCAGGTGTTATAAGTTGTGATTACAGGTAATCCTCTTATCACCATCAGCTCTAATTCGTTAATTACTAAACCTCATAATTGACCATTACAATTATTTTTCCCAGTAAAATCGGTCAGTCAGCGTTTCAATTTCAATATTTCTCTAAAGACCACAATTTACAGTTCGTTTATCCATAAATGTTTTTGTAGTTTCATCAATTGAACAAAATTGTTTTCCCCCTGACAGTTCCCATTTTAATTTCAAAATTTCTCAAACAATCAGCTGTTTGATGTAGTTTCTTCATATGAACGTATTTTCGTCACATTGTATATAACTTTTCATCAAAATCTTTCGACAATTCTGATTGTAAAGATAAAACTTAATCAAAACATTCAAAAATATTTTCATGAGTCAAACAGATGCTTTATCGTGTACTGCACATGCATGAGCATATTCCTATAAATTTATTAGACACTAAAATGTAAAATGCGAATGAAATTTAACGAGAGAGACAAATATATGATCATTTCCTGCCTTTTTCATTCTAAATTTATTATCCTCTTGTCACTTTCCCGTTTTCATTTCGTTTAAAAATCGAAAGTAAACGTGAACGATTCTTGATAAATTTAAAATATAAGTCATTTTAATCGCTCCAAGTTTATAAAAATGAATTCCAAATATTGATTTAAACGTTTTTACAGGGATAATGATTATGCAGTGAAATAGTCGTTACAATTTCACTTATGCTGTGATTCCTGGTTTTAAAAATGAGGAACCCAACTTTTGTTGATCAGGAATGTTCCCTGAAAATAACTGAAGTGAAATTGTGAACTAGATTTCCGGATCCTTGTTCTAATCTTCATATTTAAGCATCACATCAGTCAAATCATGCAATAACTGTCTACACTTGTAGCATGCCTAAGGCCTTCAAAGATCCAGGTCCTTGAAGGACTTGGGTATATGTATAGCAAGTAGTAAACGTTCTTGGTTCCTTACTGTTCCCAAAATAAGGTTGATTTTCATCTCTCGTAAAAGTGACTAAAGTTCAAACTCCTAGCTGGAAGACTGGAAGAGTTTGGAAAAACATTTACTCAGACAGATATATCAGATGACAGGAAGCTGCTTACGTAAACAGAAATCTTTTGTCAATATTGAACTCATTACTGTGGATTCATTATTATTCTTGGGAAACTTATTTTTGTGGATTTTGTGGGTACTGGTTTGCTATGAATTTAAATGTTCAGCAAAGTTTATATTTTCCCAAGACTTCTATGCAGACGTTTGGAAATCCATGAAATAAAATATCCACGAAAATGAAGTTTTTTCCTCAATCCACAAAAATTTGTACACACGAAAAATAAAAGAATCCTTATTATCTAACTAAAGGTAACAAAATCAAAACAGTAACTTCAACAGAAACATAGATTCTCAATCAGCTATAATGGTTCTCGGTTTTTATGGTCTTTAAACCACTGCAGCTAACCTTGAAAATGATTATGTAAAGTGCCACTACATAATACTTTTTATATATAAACTATTTAAACAAATGTTTCAGATCCATTTCAATCATCCCTACAGAACACAGAAACAGAACCAGAGCTTCCCCAGCGACAGTTTGCATCAGACAGTATGGTTGTACATGAGCCCTCTCGACCTGAAATACCACAGCGACCTCAACCTAAATTACCAGAGGAAGATAGTATCCCTAAACATAATATAGCTCCTATGTTTGAGACATGGTATCATGGTCAATTACCAAGAAAGCAGGTAGGAAAAAAAAAATTCTTGTGACAGTGACAAAATTATGTGTTGTGGAACATGAGTGTTTGTCTGCCTGTCAGTTCATTAGTCTGTCTGTCCATCTTTTCATCCATTTGTACACCTCTCACAGTAATTCTTTGATTTAATCGATCTTTAACAAATTTTTACACAGAGTTTTATTCGAAGAAGACAAGTTCTCATTAGATATTGTTGTTTCAGAGTGATGACACTTCAATCATTAAAAATTTTGTGATTTGGAGATTATCTTGTGACAACTCATGGTTAAACAGATATTTACAAAATATTTACACTATGTTTTGTTCTCTAAATATGCTCCCTTTTCTATTTGACTACTTTCAGATTAGTAGTTTCAGAGTTTTGGAATGATTTAAATCATTATAAGTTTGACCAAGCAGTGTACATCTCAAGATGACATAAATTTTCTTAATTGGGTTCTTGAAATTTCTACACAATATTTGTTTCATACAAGAAAGATTTGAATTTTAGGTTTGTTGTCCCTTAGTTATGGGATTTTAATAGTTTAAAAAAAAAATTAAAAAATTGGAACACATGTTCTAATAACTTGCTTTTCTTTATAAGATCTTTACAAAATATGTTTTAGTAGATTATAAGTAGTAAAACTTTATGAATTAACTTGTCTTGAAAAAAAAATCTATGCTACAAAAATAATGAATTTTAATTCTTTACAGGCTGAAAAACTTCTGCAGAAAGATGGTGATTTTCTAGTTAGGAAAAGTTCAAACGACCAGAATCAATACGTCTTGAGTGGTAGACAAAATGGTGTTATTAAACACTTGTTATTAGTTGACCCAGATGGCATTGTAAGTCAAGTACATGTATAGAACTCCTCATTAACAGAGCCATTACTTCTAAAAGCAAGAATCCCTAAGGAAGACTGGGGTAAAGATATATGGTTTTCTTGCAACCAGCAGTAAAACCCTTGTCAAAGGGGCGTCTGTGTGGCTGTGCAGGATGTATAAATTTGCAGTACATCCAGTCAGTATGGGGACATTAAATCTAGTGTTTAGACATTGCCAAGCTCTATGAATGAACATTTGCAACAACCCTTTGAGGGTCTGTATATGGTTTGTTGCGAGGCCAAATTTCTGTCCCTATCCAATATACCCTAGTTTTCCAGTGGCTTTCCAAATTTCCCACCTTACAACTTGGTTGACCCCCTATTGCAGTACTTATTCATTGTATTAATTTTTAATTTGTTTTCATCCTGAAAATGCATGAAATATTTGCCACTGGACAACAATCAATCAGCTAGTCTAAAGGGAAGATTGATTTTGGAATGCAAGGTTCAGCATCTTTTAAAATACCTTCTCATTTTAGTATTCAAATGACAGCCTAAATATAGAAAAGAGATTTTCCACTTCTTAGAAGATAAGATAATATGATTGGAACAGTTTTGTTAATTTTACTTCAAAGAAAATTATCAGGTAAATAATAAAGTTGTTTCTTGCATGGGCTCTATATTTGGTGTTCCAGAAAATATTCTCAAAGTCCTCAAGATATTTTATTTCAGAAAAACTCTTAAGTGACTTTCCTTTGACTCCATAACTGCATTAATTGTGACATCATGGATTCTGATATACCTTAAAAGTTTAATATTAAATTTTCTTAACTTTGGAATTGATATTACAGTGGAATCCTCTGTGTCGGTGCTACACCAGTGATATTTTCCATTACCCGATTTTGTCATATCTGCAATGTAACATAAATAAAATTGTTCTTGTATAAAATTGATTGAGTCTTCAAAAGGACAGAAAAAGTTAAAATTGATAAGTTAAAGCATGAATTAATAATTGCAATCCAATTTTTAACCATATTTAACCATCTTCCATTAAAATAATGACATCATAAGATGAATTGATTTATTTTAAGGCAAATTATATCAAATTGAAATAACTTTTGCTTAGCATCAATAGCAGTCTGATAGGTATGAACTTAAGAGTATTTTGTAGAATACATTTTTTCCTTTCTTCGAAATAACTATTTTGAGAAGACATGCGCGAAATCATCAGACATTTAAAGAACTGTCAAAACAAGGAATTCTCTAGTAAGGTGAAATCATCAGACATTTAAAGCACTGTCAAAACAAGGAATTCTCTAGTAAGGTGAAATCCTCAGACATTTAAAGAACTGTCAAAACAAGGAATTCTCTAGTAAGGTGAAATCCTCAGACATTTAAAGAACTGTCAAAACAAGAAATTCTCTAGTAAGGTGAAATCCTCAGACATTTAAAGAACTGTCAAAACAAGGAATTCTCTAGTTAGGTGAAATCCTCAGACATTTAAAGAACTGTCAAAACAAGGAATTCTCTAGTAAGGTGAAATCCTCAGACGTTTAAAGAACTGTCAAAACAAGGAATTCTCTATAGCTAGTTAGGTGAAATCCTCAGACGTTTAAAGAACTGTCAAAACAAGGAATTCTCTAGTAAGGTGAAATCCTCAGACATTTAAAGAACTGTCAGAACAAGGAATTCTCTAGTAAGGTGAAATCCTCAGACATTTAAAGAACTGTCAAAACAAGGAATTCTCTAGTAAGGTGAAATCCTCAGACATTTAAAGAACTGTCAAAACAAGGAATTCTCTAGTAAGGTGAGAACTGTCAAAACAAAGAATTCTCTAGTTAGGTGAAATCCTCAGACGTTTAAAGAACTGTCAAAACAAGGAATTATCTAGTAAGGTGAAATCCTCAGACGTTTAAAGAACTGTCAAAACAAGGAATTCTCTAGTTAGGTGAAATCCTCAGACGTTTAAAGAACTGTCAAAACAAGGAATTCTCTAGTAAGGTGAAATCCTCAGACATTTAAAGAACTGTCAAAACAAGGAATTCTCTAGTTAGGTGAAATTCTCTAGTAAGGTGAAATCCTCAGACATTTAAAGAACTGTCAAAACAAAGAATTCTCTAGTAAGGTGAAATCCTCAGACATTTAAAGAACTGTCAAAACAAGAAATTCTCTTGTAAGGTGAAATCCTCAGACATTTAAAGAACTGTCAAAACAAGAAATTCTCTTGTAAGGTGAAATCCTCAGACATTTAAAGAACTGTCAAAACAAGGAATTATCTAGTAAGGTGAAATCCTCAGACATTTAAAGAACTGTCAAAACAAGGAATTCTCTAGTTAGGTGAAATCCTCAGACATTTAAAGAACTGTCAAAACAAGGAATTCTCTAGTTAGGTGAAATCATATCTTCGTGTTATAAATTTGTTCACAAAATTGGTTTTATGAGTTTATCAAAGTCTAGCCTTAGAAAATTAAAGAATTTTGCCTAGTTACCCAACCTTTTTATGCAATATTTTCCATACAGGTATTTGTAGAATGCAGACAAAATTTTCTATCTTATGAAATCATTTTTTGTTTTACATTAATGTTTATTTAACAGAATACACATGGTTAAACTGAAGTTATTGTTTTTTTCAGGTACGAACCAAAGACCATACATTTGAAAGTGTTCCTCATTTAATAAAATATCATATGAAACATGGACTTCCAATTGTTTCACAAGAAAGTGAACTTCATTTGGTTAGACCAGTCAGCAACAACTACACCAACTGTTGACCATAATTGTTAGTCTATCATATTTCAGTAACTGGTACGTTGTCGTATTGTTTTAATTTGGTGCCAGTTGCAGTTGCCGTTCTTTTATTCACAGGATATTTAACATGATAATCTCTTTTTAAACTGTTACTTTTGTAATTAGTGAAGAGATATCAACAAAAGCTAAACCTTAGCTTTGATTTCTGAAAGTATTGTTCAATTACAAAAAAAAAGTACTCTTCCTTTATTTGTATGATATATGAATATAGTAGAAATGCATAATACTGTCACAATTGAGAGCATTCTCTTACAGGTGAATCGATGTAAATGAAATAATTTATAAGATACTTCACACTCATAACATGATTTTTTTAACAATGTTAATTTGAACTTTGTATCACTTTTTAAACTATCACTTGTTCTTGTCTTTGTTGTTTTTAATGCTGATCAAGCTAACATTTATAACCTGATTTTAATTTTTGAAAAGATTTAAGTTCTGTATGTGTTTTGTATGGAAAATATTCATAATTTTTAAAAAAAAAATAGTTTTAAGTACAAAAATCACTTTTGAATTTAATTTATAATTAAGAGCATTGAAATATAAGTGTAAATGGAGAATCAATAAGTGCCATTTTAAATCATAGCATAGCCTTGAAATAGCTACATGTTACAATTAGATGGGTTTTTTTTTTAAATACAATAGATATTTTAGTGTGCATGACATTGTAACAGGGCAGGACCTCCAATCAGATTGTGTATATAGATTTTTGTATAGGTATAATTATAGCTTTAAGCAGTTGTTTTGAGTGGATCAACAAATACATTGTATATATTGTTACGAGTAATTATTTTATTACTTTGTTTTAGTGTAAGTAAACTATTCCATTTTTTGTTAATGAGCTTATTTTGATTATTTATTGTTAATGAAATTTTAGTATATATTTATTTCTTATTAACATTTTTTTGTTCCATTTTATACTTGCTGGCATTTTAGATGCTAATTAGTATTATTCTTTTGTGTGGCAGTCATACTTTACTAAATGAAGAGTGCTTGTTATTATTTTGAAGTGATTTTTTTATAAGCTGAAGTATTTAGAGTTTTGTGGATCAATGTAAACATATGATATATATTTCAGTGCAAAAAGACACAATGTTCTAGAATAACTTGTTATCAGATATGCTGGTGAAAAAAGTTTGGGAAGTTAAAAAATCTAAAAGCATCAAAACCAAAGGGCTGAAACACAACAACCCAATGTCAAAGGTCAATTTACCTTTATAGGGATAAACTTAATATAATGTAATTCAATAAATGAAAAGTAAATCAAAATGTATAATTTAAAATTATGCCAATACAAATGGCTACACATGGTTAAATATTGCCAATTGACCAATATTGATGGAATATTTTGAAGTGTTCAACAAGCTTTGACAGAAGACACCTTGCAATGTTTTTTTCAATTGTAAATACATTTTTGTCAAGCATGCGAGGTCGGCGTCATCAACATTTAGGTTAAAGTTTTTAAGACATCAATAACTTTGTCAAACCTACATGGAATTTTATGAAATTTGGGCAGAAGCTTGTTTATGACCAAAATACAGTATCCAGAGCAAAATTTTGAAAATATTTATTTTAATTTTTCTGTATTTTACTGATAAATGGACTTAGTTTTTTTTTTTGACAGTTAACATTCAGATTTAGTCTGAGGATAAAGTTTTTCAGTCATCAATAACTTTGTCAAACCTTCATGGAATTTTATGAAATTTGAACAGAAGCTTGTTTATGACCAAAAGACAGTATCCAGAGCAAAGTTTTGTTTCTATATTTTACTGATAAATGGACTTAAGTGTTTGTACAGTTAACACTGAGGCTCAGTCTGAGGTTAAAAGTTTTGCAGTCATCAATAACTTTGTCAAACCTTCATGGAATTTTAAGAAATTTGGACAGAAGCTTGTTTAAGGACAAAAGAAAGTATCCAGAGCAAAATTTTGAAAATATTTATTTTCATTTTTCTGTATTTAACTGATAAATGGACTTAGATTTTTATGCCCCACCTAGGGGCATTATGTTTTTCGGTCTGTGCGTCCATTCGTTCGTCCGTTCATCCGTCCGTCTGTCCCGCTTTAGGTTTAAGTTTTTGGTCAAGTTTTTTATGAAGTTGAAGTCTAATCAACGTGAATCTTAGTACACATGTTCCCTATATGATCTTTCTAATTTTAATTCCAAATTAGTTTTTTGACCCAAATTTCTCGGTCCACTGAACATAGAAAATGATAGTGCGAGTGGGCAGGTTAAAGTTTTTGGTCAAGGTTGTTTTTGATGAAGTTGAAGTCCAATCAACTTGAAACTTAGTACACATGTTCCCCATGATATGATCTTTCTAATTTTAATGCCAAATTAGAGTTTTTACCCCAATTTCACAGTCCACTGAACATAGAAAATGATAGTGCGAGTGGGGCATCCATGTACTATGGACACATTCTTGTTTTTACAGTTAACAAGTAAATGCAGTCTGGGGTTAAAGTTTGTTACACATCAATTACTTTGTCAAACTTTCATAGAGTTTTAAAAAACTTTGGCAGAAGCTTTTTAATGATTAAGAGATAATGTCTGGAGCAAACCTTTGAAAACTTTTTTTTTTTATTTTTAGTATTTTTCTGATAGATGGACTTCGTTTTCTACAGTTAACATTTACAGACAGAATTGGGAAAAGTTTTTTTTTTTTTTAAATTCTGTATTTTACAGTTAAATGGACTCACTTTTTAAGCCAATTAAACTTTTACACTGACAGCAGCAATCGCAGGCGAAACACAGGGTTCCGCGGAACCTCTTACATTTTTTTTTACTTCATCTTCTTTTATGTTGGAATTCCTTGTTTGATATTTTTGTTAAAATAACCATTAAAAATTTGACAATTACAGGTATTTTTTTGATAACTCAATTTTTTTTCTGGCACATCTTTGTGATATTTTTATACTGTATTAAGGTTATATATACGAGCACCCTTTTTAATTTTGCTGATTTTCTAAAGTTCTTTCCAGAATTATTGGACTTTATTTGTAGGAGTCCAGTTTTCATTAACACATAATTCCATAAAATCATTTAATGATGAAATTCATGAGACGAGAAGAAGTAGTGCTACATAACAGCTGATTATTTTTCAGTCACTTGTAGCTCTGTTATAATTATATGCTTTAAATTATGAAGGATTATAGATCATTTTTTTGTTGGGAAGGATATTTTACTACATTATAAAAAAATTAGGGTTGTGATATGTGGGTATTCTAAATTGATTTTGTTAAATTTCTACGTCTGCTTAAGAAGTAAATTTAATGGAAGCAAAATCGGGGTATATGCTTCAGTATAGATTGATCTACATTTGACATAAATTTTAGTTCAGACAGGTTTTGTCTATAAATTCTGAATCTGAATACTGTAGATTTATTTGAATACCTAATGTGAAATGTTTAAGGACATTTAATCATAAAGGCAACTTAAGATTAAATGTGGTTTAATGTTGGTTAGTATAAAAATGCATTTTGTGGTTTTATACTGAACAAACAGTAGGCACATATGATATGTTAAGACACATTTTTTTGATTTAGAAAAATGAACAAAAGGAGATATTGGATCAATAAACCAGAAACCAAACAACAGAAGCAAAATAACTAGTATACTTGTGCCATTTTTTGGATATATGATTTGTATTCCATTAATGTTGAACTGTAAAATCACAAATTTTCTTTGGGACTGAATTTCTTTTATTGGGTCGATAGATGCTGTCCGATAGATGGTGTCCGAGAAATAAAAACTGCAACGAAAAAATACCATTTAGGAAAAGATTAATTTCATATTCTGCAAACCACTAAGAATGCTCCCTACTTAACCGATTTTTAAGACAAAACCATGAAATTTTAACTTTTTGAAAAATAAATGTTACTACAGTAAATTAACCTATCATTCCTTGTGAGATTAATCAAATGAATAGAAAAGAGAATGGAGAATGGTAAAATATAGGGAATACATTTAATTCATAAGTAAAAACATGGTAACGGTTTTGATATGCATATAATATTTAAATAGTGACATAACCTTAAAAGAGAAAAGAAGGAGAAAAAAACATACAGCAGAATTTGTTTCATTTTAATAAACAAGACAACCCTAACTGAAATAAAGGGATATAACTCTAGATCATGCACTGTATGGACACTAGCTCATTTTTATCCTGTTTACATGATCCTTTGTATTTTTATAAGCATCTCCTTTATTTAAGAGATTTTCATACATTCCATTATTGATTTAATTACTAGATTTGCAGATTGTTTAGTTTCAAGTGCATCTTCAAGTATATATTTACTATTGTTTTAACTCAAGTGATGATTGTTAACATATAACATGATCATCTCAAACTTGTTATTGTAAACATTATTGCCACTTTAAACTTTTGTTAGTATTGACCAGATTGTAGCTATTTTATTGATGTAAATTTTTGCACACATAAATTTATGTAGAATATTAGATCACTTTGACCTACATAGAAAAAATTAAATATCATAAAATGACCCATTGGAAATCATCCATAAACAAAGAAGTATTTTTAATAAACAAAGTGTTCGGGATTACAGGGTCCAATGAGGTATGTATAAAATCTGTTTGTCTCACCTGCAATCAAAGTCACAGAATACTAGACACAATGATACTAAGCTGGCAGGAACAGCAGTAATTAATTGTATTAAGCTATATTATTTTAATGTAGAAAAGCTAGACTTCCACATTTTGAAAAAAAGATAGCTTATGTTCTGTTTTGTCTGGCATATGTTTCATTCCTTGACCTGATTTTCATAGTTCAGGACCTTCTCGAGCCAACATTTATTTTTTTCCCTAGACTGTTTCCCAGTAACTATGAGATAGTGGTCAACCATAATTGGTGTACAGATTCATTATTGTAAGGTATACATGTAAAAAAATGTCTTATGTTAGACTCTCTTTCAACTGCTACTTAATCAACAATGAATTATTACAGTTAGAATTGCATTCATGTCCGTCCTTATTTTTTCATTCCTTATTTAAGACTATAACTTCTTTTTTGAAATTAAAGAAATAATTTTATTTTCATAACAGGCTAAATATTATACCTGTCCATTCCTTTGTTTATCATATATGATAATCTGGAAATTAATATGTATGAAACTATGAATCATTTACACTGTAATATAGAAGGCATTTTCTAATCTCTAAATAAATGGTTGTGTAATTTTCCTTTCAGAATAATCTTGAAACTAATTTAGTGAGTGGCTAGTTTTTTTTTTCAAAATGTCTTTCCTCCCTTGATACTTTCTATATTTCATCCGAATCAGCTTTAGTTTATATTCAGTTTGAAGATAACATTTGTTTGTGTATGCTTGTGATAATGTGTATACTAGTCATGACTTCAAACTATATAATCATTTTATAGTCTTGTAAAATTGTACATAGCAGAGCCTGTCTTGGCCATCAGATTTTAGCAGATAGAATCTATTTCAGTTATTGAGTGAAGTTAAAAGTAACCACTAACACATTCTTGCAAAAGGATTAAATAATCTCAATAAAATGATTATGAGATTTTATTCTAGTAAAATTGTTCATAAAAAAATCCTTTTCAGTTCTTTTATACATTTAAATTAAGATGCATTTAATGTTTTCATAAATATAGCATTGAAAAGGCTTCAAAGTATATTTTGCAGTTCAAGACAGGTTCTATTACATATAATTAACATTCATAATCATGTCATATAGCTGTATTTTATTCCAGTAGAAAGAATTTTGTTAATAACCATTAATTTATGATCATGATGGCAAATAATAAAAGTGATACATTCTTGTTGTATTTGTGTCTATCGGTTGTTTTGGGGTTGATGTTCAGTCAAACAAATTTTGTTGATTTAGAACTTGCTGGGGCATGTATATCAGGGAAATTTTTACGTGTCTATATGGTATGTATTTCACCTTGGAATTTAGCCTAAACAAACATTTAACTGAACATTTAAATGCATTGCACAAGGTGGTAAAGCGCAAAAAAAGAACACAGCAAAGATTGAACCATCCCTTCTAAGACCCCAAGTAGGTTATATACTCATCCTAGTAATGTACTTTTGGTAGAGGAATCTTTAAGGGTGAAGGTCAACATGGTATAGAAAATAATGTACTGAGGGCTTTTACTACTCCGACAATTGGTAAGAAAAATATCTTTCATTTGTTGCTATTTTTCCACTGTACCAAAAAAGATTTTACTTTTGATACACTGGAAAAACTGTTAACCTCTCATTGCAAGTTCAAATAAACTCCTTATAGATACCAGGCTTAAATTTTGTACAACAGATAACCCTCAAATCAAAAAAGATAAAAAGGCCAAATAAAGTACAAATTGAAGAGCATTGAGGACTCAAAATTCTGAAAGGTTTTGCCAAATACAAGACAGCATTTTAGCACAATATCAAGTAGAATTTTTCTATATTTCTAACACGCTACATTTGTGCATTGATGAACTTAGTTGAGGGTATTTTCTTTTAAAAGCTACTGACTATAACGTGCAAAGAATTCAAACAGTACTGTAATTACTTGCCTGACCGTAAAATACTGAAACAATACAAACAGAAAACAACTATGGGAAATATAAAGATATTTGTAAGATAACTTGGCAGAAAATAATGTATGCAAAGGGCAAATATGTCCAATGGAGTGCATAGCAATTTCGATAAACTTACAAACTGAGAGAAAAATGAAGTAGTGCAGTGAACAAATAACATTACCTGGCAGTGAACTTTGTTGGAAGGTTCTTTGATAGCAAATTTATTATTAAATTTTAATATTTGAACTTTTTTTTTATTGCTGAATATTATGGTATATAGAATCATTGTAGTCATTCTGTCAAAAAGGGTTAATATGACCTTGCCCCCATTTTCATGGTTCCTTAGTAATATATAAACTTGATTTGTCAGTAGGGTCATTTTACGTTGTAAGATGAGCATACCTGAGTGAAAGCGGTCCTCTGACTTTGACCTTGCCATGGTTTATTGATCCAGATTAAGTTTAGCAAATAGGCCAGTTTCAAAATAAGTTTTTAAGTTGGATATTATAAATGTACTTTATCCTGTTTTCTAGATTCTCAGCTTTAAGTTTGATACAAGTTGCTTGACCATCGTCTATTATGATTTCAACATATCAATTCACATCTATGTATCTTCAAAATTCAAAGTTCAAGACAATAGAAAATTACTACTGTAAATTCAGAAACTTGCATGCATTTGTTATTGTGATTTTTGAAAAAAGGACAAAAGTGTGAGATATATTATTGCAATTTCAGATAAAATGCTCCGCTGGGGCGCAGCTTTATACGACCGCAGAGGTCGAACCCTGAATAGTTGGGGCAAGTATGGACACAACATTCAAGCTTGATACAGCACTGAATTTGGATTGTAATTAAATATTTGACACAGCATAGGTTTCTGACACAGAATGAAAGTGGTCTAAGAACTTAAAATTTTTTAATTTACCTATTTAAACCATATTTTTATTTGCTTTTATATATAAATCAGAAATAACCAATTTAAAATGGAAAATTTAAAAGAAAAAAAAGGAAAAAAAAATCCCCCCCCCCAAATTTTTTGAACCCCCTTATGATTCATCACCCCCAAACTCAATCCCAGCCTTCCCTTTGTGGTATGGTACCTTGCAGTACAATTTCAGAGAGATCCATACACTTGAACACAAGTTATTGTCTGGAAACTAGAAAAATGCTTGTTTTTTGGCCCCTTTTCTAAACGTTTAGGGCAATTACCCCCAAACTCAAACCCAGCTTTCCCTTTGTGATATGGAACCTTGCAGAACAATTTCATTAAGATCCATACACTTACATACAAGTTATTGTCCTGAAACTAGAAAAATGCTTGTTTTTTTGCCCTTTTATGGCCCCTAATTACTAAAATTTTGAGGCAATTACCCCCAAATCAATCCCAGCCTTCCCTTTGTGGTATGGTACCTTGCAGTACAATTTCAGAGAGATCCATACACTTGAACACAAGTTCTTGCCTGGAAACTAGAAAAATGCTTATTTTTGGCCCCTTTTTCCTAAAATTTTAGGGCAATTACCCCCAAACTCAATTCCAGCTTTCCCTTTGTGATATGGAACCTTGTATTACAATTTCATAAAGATCCATACACTTACACACAAGTTATTGTCCTGAAACTAGAAAAATGCTTGTTTTTTGCCCCTTTTCGGCCCCTAATTACTAAAATTTTTAGGGAATTACCCCAAAAATAAATCCCAGCATTCCCTTTGTGATATGGAACCTTGTGATACAATTTCAGAGAGATCCATACACTTACACACAAGTTATTGTCATGAAACTAGAAAAATGCTTGTTTTTTGCCCCTTTTTGGCCCCTAATTCATAAAATTTGGAGGCAATTACCCCCAAAATCAATCCCAGCATTCCCTTTGTGATATGGAACCTTGTGGTACAATGTCAGAGAGATCCATACACTTACACACAAGTTATGTCTGGAAGTTACAAAAATGCTTATTTTTGGCCCCTTATTCCTTAACTGTTGGTACCATAACCCCCAAAATCAATCCCCACCTTCCTTTTGTGGTATTGAACCTTATGGTAAAATTTCATTGAGATCCATTCACTTAAACTAAAGTTAGAGTGCGAAAACTAATGTGTCTTCGGACGACGATGATGACGACGACGACGACGAGGACACCAACGTCAAACCAATTAAGACCACAAAAATTTTTTTGCGGTCGTATAAAAAATCTGCATACAGATATATGTATCAGATATCAGAATGCGAGTAATTATTGCAATTATCACTCACATGACCCAGTTGCATTATTCACAATAATTTCTGAATTTGGTATTTCAAAAGGTACATGTCATGTTGCAATAAATCACAAAAAAATCACCAAATTCATACAACAAATACTTTCAGAAAAATCATTTTAAGAAGTTCAGAGAAAACAACATTTATAATAATTTACTTTTTAATATAACAACAGTATAACATTTTTTTAGGCATTTTATAAAGAATCAGAATTTAACAAATTTGGGAACTTTTTTCTTGAGCGTCTGTGGTTTAACATCAACCAACTCTTCCTCTGCATCAGCACTTGTGAAGTTGTCCAGTGTTGGTAGTGTTAGACTGTCTATTCCTACAAAACACATTCACAAACGTTAGATACCACTAAAATTGTTTTAACACTTTTGGATTGAAACAAACTGTTTTCTGTACAAATATAAATGTGCACTTAAGATACTGTGATTGTTGGATTGCTGTCTGTTTGCTGTTTTCCTCATATCTCTAATTATTCATTTGGAATAACTTTTTTTAATAGTAATAACACTGTTTACATTAAAAACAATGTCAATCTTTGTGAATGAATTAATTCTTTTTTTTTTTAAACAAAAAATCTAGGCAGGAAATCATCAGTAATACAACTAAAAGAGGGAAATCGTATTTCACTAAATTTGTGAAAAGTGTTTTAAAAATCTATTTTCATCTCATCCATTTTAGAAATGTATAAGAAAGTTAGAACACTTACAATAAATAACTGGTGGATGGTTGTATTTTCCTGAAGAAAAGTGAATTAACTTTTATTTACCTACGTCTCTGAACAAACTATCTGATAGTTTGGCCATGAACAATCATTTCTATATGGAAACTAACCTAGTTTTTTTTTTGCAAATTTTTGTGGTTCTTTACCCATTCTCACCTGTCTTTGCTTTTGGAAAATCATCATGGTTAAGTGAACATACTTTTCTTAATGTCACATAAAAATATAATATAATGTCCCAGATTTTTCTCATTTGGTCAAAACTTGTCTAGCCAGTGTATCTGAAAACTATTTCTTGTAACTTACAATTTATCCTTTAGACAATTTTTGTGGTTATTTACTTTTTAGTCTGTACCTCTGTCATGTAATTTAAGCATCTGAACAATTTTATTAGTATAAATTTTCCCTATATAGGTTGAACAGTCTTTCTGGTAACTTACCCTGTTTTACTTGTGTCTCTGGGTATTTTTTTATTGCTTGTATTACAGTTAACTTACCCTGTTTGGCATGTGCTTCTGGACAATCTTTCACATAATGTTCCACTGACCCACATTCTTTACAACACCCACCTGAAATGTTACATGTTATAGTGACTAAGAGCAGCACTATGTCCAGACATGAGACATGTACATTGCATATATTGAAAAGAGATTTTTTTTTCCTACTAATTACATTATGGTATTAAACCTTGTTTGAAGTATACCATAAATATTTTGAAACTGTTATTTGCATATACATATTTGTAATTCTTATATTATTAGCATTCATGTTTCAACAAATATTTGAATATAATTGGTCATTTCAAATTTGTTTGCTTCGTTTATACTTTGATACACCACTAATGTAAATATGATTATTAGAAAACTGAACTTTTTGCCACCTTTAAAATACTGAAATCAAAATTAGATAATCCTACAATCTTTGTTTAGAAACACCATGTTGGATCAACTTTGTTGTAATTTTTACTGAAATCAACAATAAATTTTCTACTATCATTGAATATGAAAGTATATACAGCGCTACACAGGAATACAATAAATGAAGTTGATTTTTTTAATCTGTTTTCACATTGATTTTGAACTCACCCATTGGATATAATCCTTTAGGATTATCAGGACACTGTTTAGATAAATGGCCAGTTTCTCCACATATAAAACATTTAGCATAGGGAAAATCTCCTGAAAATAGAACAAAAGTGCACACACTGAAATGTCTCGCCTGCTTTACTGACCATTGATTTTATGTTGATAGTCCTAAATTTAAAGTTTTATTACAACTTCAAGTATCACATAAACTTAACATGATAAAATAAAATGCTCCGCAGGGCACAGCTTGATACGACCGCAGAGGTCGAACCCTGAACAGTTGGGGCAAGTATGGACACAACATTCAAGCTTGATACAGCTCTGAATTTGGATTGTGATTAAATATTTGACACAGCATAGGTTTCTGACACAGAATGAATGTGGTCTAAGAACTTAAAAATTTTAAATAGGACATTCACCTATTATGGTCCAATGTCCAAAATCTAAATACATGGTTAGATTCAGCATATCAAAGAACCCCAAGAATTCAATTTTTGATGAAATCAAACAAAGTTTAATTTTGGACCCTTTTGACCTCAATGTGGACAAAGTTGATAATGTGGCCCAAAAAACAAAATCTAAATACATGGTTAGATTCAGCATATCAAAGAACCCCATATATTCAATTTTTGTTGAAATCAAACAAAGTTTAATTTTGGACCCCGATTTGGACCAACTTGAAAACTGGGCCCATAATCAAAAATCTAAATACATGTTTAGATTCAGCATATCAAAGAACCCTAAGAATTCAATTTTTGTTAAAATCAAACTAAGTTTAATTTTGGACCCTTTGGACCTTAATGTAGACCAATTTGAAAACGGAACCAAAAATTAAGAATCTAAATACACGGTTAGATTCGGCATATCAAAGAACCCCAATAATTCAATTTTTGATGAAATCAAACAAAGTTTAATTTTGGACCCTTTGGACCTCAATGTGGACCAATTTAAAAACGGGTTAGAATCAGCATATTAAAGAACCCCAAGAATTCAAGAATAAAACCCCTTTGAAATTGGTCAAGAAATAAGCAATTTATACGAAGTATCTTCTTTTGCACAATACTGTGCAATTGAATATTTCTTGCTATTGCGCAATACTGTACAATTGACAATTTCTTGCTATTGCGCAATATTGTGCTATTGGATATTTCTTGCTATTGCACAATACTGTGCAATTGAATATTTCTTGCTATTGCGCAATACTGTACAATTGACAATTTCTTGCTATTGTGCAATACTGTGCAATTGAAAATTTCTTGCTATTGCACAATACTTATTATATAATAATTTACACATCCTGTTTGGTGTGTATCTCCTACCATATCATTATCATTTGCTTTTAAATATAAAACAGAAATAACCAACTTAAAATGGAAAATTTTAAAAGAAAAAAAAAAGGAAAAAAAGAAAAAAAAGGAACCCCCCCCCCCCCCAATTTTTTGAACCCCCTTATGATTCATCACCCCCAAACTCAATCCCAGCCTTCCCTTTGTGGTATGGTACCTTGCAGTACAATTTCAGAGAGATCCATACACTTGAACACAAGTTATTGTCTGGAAACTAGAAAAATAATTATTTTTGGCCCTTTTTTGGCCCCTTATTCCTAAACATTTTGGGCAATTACCCCCAAACTCAATTCAAGCTTTCCCTTTGTGATATGAAACCTTGTAGTACAATTTCAGAAAGATCCATACACTTACACACAAGTTATTATCATGAAACTAGAAAAATGCTTTTTTTCCCCCTTTTTTGGCCCCTAATTCCTAATATTTTGAGGCAATTACCCCCAAAATCAATCCCAGCATTCCCTGTGTGATATGGAACCTTGTGGTACAATTTCAAAGAGATCCATACACTTGAACACAAGTTATTGTCTGGAAACTAGAAAAATGCTTATTTTTGGCCCCTTTTTGGCCCCTTATTCCTAAACGTTTTGGGCAATTACCCCCAAACTCAATTCCAGCTTTCCCTTTGTGATATGGAACCTTGTAGTACAATTTCAGAAAGATCCATACATTTACAAACAAGTTATTGTCATGAAACTAGAAAAATGCTTGTTTTTTGCCCCTTTTTTGGCCCCTAATTCCTAATATTTTGAGGCAATTACCCCCCATAATCAATCCCAGCATTCCCTGTGTGATATGGAACCTTGTGGTACAATGTCAGAGAGATCCATACACTAACACACAAGTTATGTCTGGAAGTTACAAAAATGCTTATTTTTGGCCCCTTTTTGGCCCCTAATTCCTTAACTGTTGGTACCATAACCCCCAAAATCAATCCCAACCTTCCTTTTGTGGTATTGAACCTTAAAGTAAAATTTCATAGAGATCCATTTACTTAAACTAAAGTTAGAGTGCGAAAACCAATGTGTCTTCGGACGACGCCAGACGACGAAGACGACGACGCCAACGTCATACCAATATACGACCGCAAAAATTTTTTGCGGTCGTATAAAAAATGAGGTCAAGGTCAGATAAACCAAGCCAAAAATACATGTAGACCTTACAATCATTCCATACACCGAATAGAGTACGGTAAACCTATTGCTTATAGTATAAAAGAAACAGACCAAACCATAAAAACTTTGTATAAACCAATGAACAATGAAAACAAGGTCAAGGTCAGATGGACCCTGCCAGACATACATGTACACCTTACAATCATTCCATGCTTTGAATATAGTTGACCTATTGCATATAGTATCTAAGAAACCAACTTAACCAGGAAAACTTACATTGACCAATGAACCATGAAAATGGGGTCAAGGTCAGATGATAACTGCCAGACAGACATATACACCTTACAAACATGCTTATAGTTTAAGAATAAAATGCTCCGCAGGGCGCAGCTTGATACGACCGCAGAGGTCGAACCCTGAACAGTTGGGGCAAGTATGGACACAACATTCAAGCTTGATACAGCTCTGAATTTGGATTGTGATTAAATATTTGACACAGCATAGGTTTCTGACACAGAATGAATGTGGTCTAAGAACTTAAAAATTTTAAATAGGACATTCACCTATTATGGTCCAATGTCCAAAATCTAAATACATGGTTAGATTCAGCATATCAAAGAACCCCAAGAATTCAATTTTTGATGAAATCAAACAAAGTTTAATTTTGGACCCTTTTGACCTCAATGTGGACAAAGTTGATAATGTGGCCCAAAAAACAAAATCTAAATACATGGTTAGATTCAGCATATCAAAGAACCCCATATATTCAATTTTTGTTGAAATCAAACAAAGTTTAATTTTGGACCCCGATTTGGACCAACTTGAAAACTGGGCCCATAATCAAAAATCTAAATACATGTTTAGATTCAGCATATCAAAGAACCCTAAGAATTCAATTTTTGTTAAAATCAAACTAAGTTTAATTTTGGACCCTTTGGACCTTAATGTAGACCAATTTGAAAACGGAACCAAAAATTAAGAATCTAAATACACGGTTAGATTCGGCATATCAAAGAACCCCAATAATTCAATTTTTGATGAAATCAAACAAAGTTTAATTTTGGACCCTTTGGACCTCAATGTGGACCAATTTAAAAACGGGTTAGAATCAGCATATTAAAGAACCCCAAGAATTCAAGAATAAAACCCCTTTGAAATTGGTCAAGAAATAAGCAATTTATACGAAGTATCTTCTTTTGCACAATACTGTGCAATTGAATATTTCTTGCTATTGCGCAATACTGTACAATTGACAATTTCTTGCTATTGCGCAATATTGTGCTATTGGATATTTCTTGCTATTGCACAATACTGTGCAATTGAATATTTCTTGCTATTGCGCAATACTGTACAATTGACAATTTCTTGCTATTGTGCAATACTGTGCAATTGAAAATTTCTTGCTATTGCACAATACTTATTATATAATAATTTACACATCCTGTTTGGTGTGTATCTCCTACCATATCATTATCATTTGCTTTTAAATATAAAACAGAAATAACCAACTTAAAATGAAAAATTTTAAAAGAAAAAAAAAAGGAAAAAAAGAAAAAAAAGGAACCCCCCCCCCCCAATTTTTTGAACCCCCTTATGATTCATCACCCCCAAACTCAATCCCAGCCTTCCCTTTGTGGTATGGTACCTTGCAGTACAATTTCAGAGAGATCCATACACTTGAACACAAGTTATTGTCTGGAAACTAGAAAAATAATTATTTTTGGCCCTTTTTTGGCCCCTTATTCCTAAACATTTTGGGCAATTACCCCCAAACTCAATTCAAGCTTTCCCTTTGTGATATGAAACCTTGTAGTACAATTTCAGAAAGATCCATACACTTACACACAAGTTATTATCATGAAACTAGAAAAATGCTTTTTTTCCCCCTTTTTTGGCCCCTAATTCCTAATATTTTGAGGCAATTACCCCCAAAATCAATCCCAGCATTCCCTGTGTGATATGGAACCTTGTGGTACAATTTCAAAGAGATCCATACACTTGAACACAAGTTATTGTCTGGAAACTAGAAAAATAATTATTTTTGGCCCTTTTTTGGCCCCTTATTCCTAAACATTTTGGGCAATTACCCCCAAACTCAATTCAAGCTTTCCCTTTGTGATATGAAACCTTGTAGTACAATTTCAGAAAGATCCATACACTTAAACACAAGTTATTATCATGAAACTAGAAAAATGCTTTTTTTCCCCCTTTTTTGGCCCCTAATTCCTAATATTTTGAGGCAATTACCCCCAAAATCAATCCCAGCATTCCCTGTGTGATATGGAACCTTGTGGTACAATTTCAAAGAGATCCATACACTTGAACACAAGTTATTGTCTGGAAACTAGAAAAATGCTTATTTTTGGCCCCTTTTTGGCCCCTTATTCCTAAACGTTTTGGGCAATTACCCCCAAACTCAATTCCAGCTTTCCCTTTGTGATATGGAACCTTGTAGTACAATTTCAGAAAGATCCATACATTTACAAACAAGTTATTGTCATGAAACTAGAAAAATGCTTGTTTTTTGCCCCTTTTTTGGCCCCTAATTCCTAATATTTTGAGGCAATTACCCCCCATAATCAATCCCAGCATTCCCTGTGTGATATGGAACCTTGTGGTACAATGTCAGAGA